TACTGCCTCTTACTTGTTTTTTATTTAATGAAAATTGTACAGAAAATACTTAAGTTATATAAGCAATCAATAAAGGAACGCGACCAACTGAAAATTATATCCCCAATGGTATCTTGGAATAAATGTTCAGCCTATAGTCTTTTTCCTTTAAAAGAAAGGCTATATATAGTCTGCTCCCCCAAATCACCCTCAAACTTCATAAACTACTGACCTGAAATTGCCTTTACGAAATGTTTTCTTGAATGCCACCTAGATTTTGTTTTCTTCCTGAGTGTTCTAAACTGGGCCAAGTATGTTCTTGCTCACTTTGTGTTGAAAAAATCATCTGTGTACTTGATTATACATTATTCCCTTCTCTAGTTTCTACTACAAAACATTACACATGCAGAATTGTGCAAGTTATATTATATATGTGTGTTACAGTAGTTAAAATTGTACCTTTTTATTAAAAGCTCGCTTCACAATTTACTCAACCAGCTATGGTGTCCAGATCAACAGTACTTGAACGCTATCTCTTGCGGAAAGAATGAAGTAGGCTATCGTATCAAAAGTTACCTCCGTGTTCATTTAAAATAAATTCTATTGGATTGCCAACACCCACTCCAGAGCATTGTGGCAGAAGCAGAATAACTTTTGCTTTTTGCAGTCTCTGGTCCGTTGGTCCAATCTCAGTAAAGTCTTCATGTAACAACTGAATATCTGAAAAAAGGGAAAAACTCAATAGTTCCACATGTTAGCAAGCCTGCACAATTTCAAAGTTGAATACGCAGCGGTGTTAGACAAAATTCCGTAGAGCCTGTTAGGCCCAGATCCACCAGGGGCAGTCCCACTGACTTCAAACAGATTGAGGCACTAGACCTTAGCATCTTCCACTGAAAAGACTGCTAATGGGATCCCCAGAGTCTTGGTGCATTCTGCTCCAGTTGTGTCCTCTGGATAAGCCAGATAACTGCATGGGTTTTAGATGAGCACTCTCAGAAACAGCTGAAAATCAGACTGAAAGCAACAGCCAAGACACCAAATATACGGACCCAAAAGTTCCCAGGCACCAGCTGCTCCGTCTAACTATTTCCATGGAGGACTTCACCCCAATATTTCAGAAGCCTGTATGTGTGACATGGATAATCTGCAACCTTTGATTAACTTGACTGTAACCAAAGAGTTAGTTCACTTCGTTACAAAAAATAAGTTGTTGCTGCCCTCCCCAAATATTCAAACAAGGAATCTTTGAATTGTGACATAATTTTGTCGTAGTCATAGATATCACAGTCATCTATATTACACTACTTTAGGCATACCAGCTGCTTAACACATACTTTTGCATCCCATGTGCCTGAACAAGTTCCTCAGTTCAGCTTCTTTTGCTGGAGATTTTACACCACAAACAAAAATTCTGGACATGCTGTGATTTGTCAGCACTGACATATGGGCAACAGTCAGACGGGAACCCATGTGAGCCACTACAACGTCATCATCTGTATTCAACATAGCATGCACAGAATGTACAGCAAGGCTGCGAGACTTATCCTACAAAAAAATGACATAAAAAGTTAAAGCTGGCCAACTAATTTGGTTTCTACAAGTAATATCAATTCCCAAATTAGGAAAGTATTTCTTTTTTTTTTTTTTCATAACAAATGGGAAAGAGGAGAGGAGAAAAAAAATCATGGACAGCTGCTAATAGACAAAAAAAAACCCACAAACATTAGGGCAAATTCAGTAAATTTAAATTTAATTCTAACTCTAATGCCCAAGAAAAGGTAAAATCTATAGGTGAAAAGAAGTAAGTCTGTATCACCTCCCTAAATGGTAACGTTAATGTGGGTATACCACTTAGGTCCTTCAAACACTTCCCTATCCCTCCAGACAGGGATGGAGATTTTGAGGGTTCTGCTTCCTCACTTTGAGGATTCTTAAACAGTAATATTTGGAATTTATTCATGTAGAATCATTCATGCAGAGTTCTTTTCTGTTGATCGTCTATTCAAAATATACATATTGAAATGAGATACTTAGAATTAATTTGTACGTTGGGTACTAAATTTTGAGGCTAAAGTTTCCAGAAAATGGTAAGCAGTGAGTAAAAATGCTCTTTGGAATGTTTCTGCCTTGGACTCGAGAATCTTTAGACACTTCAGAATTCCTCGTTGAGTGTCATTCCAAGGTTACTCCAAACCACCTGTACTCTACAAAAGGAACCTCTGGATAACCTTCCTAGAGGGACCCCACTCATGAAAGAGGCCAGCGGGCTTAAAGGAGATTTAGGAACCACATTGCATAAAATATGAAGAGACATCATTATTCCATCACAAATACGTTAATTGCAGAGGAAGAGATACTATGAATATTAGATAATATTTAGTAGATAACATGCCGTTATCTACTAAACTGGGAGTAATGTATGGAGTTACACAGAAACTTTCCTCATATTTTCAGAAGTGAGACAGTCTCGGCCACTTTTGATGTTTATTTCAACCATTTCAGAATTAAATGTAAATTCAAAACATCTTACTAATTGTGGTTATCAATTCTAAGCATTAACATTTGCATATTAAATTTAATATGTGAATCAATTTCTAGCCTTCTGATTATTAAAAAAACAAAACAAAACAGGAACTTTTGAGAATGTGTTCTTGCCAGACTGATTTAATAGGAAAGTCACACAATACCTGACCTGATTCTAATACAGAGCACTATTAGAGTTTGCAGATCATATTAAGATACCTCACTCAGGGGTGCCATCAACTCACCTGTAGTAAGAGTTTGTAATCTGCAAAAAGATCTAAATTAAGCAGGTCTTCTTTAAGAGAGGAAGGAAAAACCAATACATCATGGCAGTGTTGGTCCATACAGTAAGTATAATGGTCGAAGTCTGACATGGATTCAACTCTTGTGAATCCCTTCTTCTTCAAATTACTGAAAACGTCTTGAAGGCTGTTAACATACAACTCTGACCGTTAAATATACAATACTGTTAAGCAATAAGATATATATTGAAGATTTGTATTTTTGCCTTTTTTTTTTTTTTAAAACATGTGCATATATATAAAGAAATGTGCTGCCAAAGCAGAGGGGGATTCACTCTATTTTAGGCTCTAAGTTCTGGTTCAAAGTTAGTAAGTCTGATAAAATAAATGAAGAAAGGTATGTGCATCCAGAAAATGATTCAAGGCATCAGAACATAAATGCCCACATGCTCAGGTCACCCTGTAGCAAATTTACAGCTGGAACAGCTTGGTTCTTTCAATTGCTTTCAATGTAACCTAGCTTGCCAATGCATTTAAAGACTGATCTCTGAAATAATCATTGTGCAAAGGTAAAGGCATAAATGGTGAGGTTTGCAATTCAAATATTGAAAAGGTTTGAAGTGATATACATCAAGACTCTTCTGCTGAAATGTAGGTTTAGACAGTGACAGAAGCTTATATTAACATTAAACACAGGGTTAACATAGCAACTTTCAGTCAACTAATGCACTCAATCTTAGTTAAGGGTTGCAAAATTTAGCCAGAAAACTAAGACATCTTCTCTTTTTTGAAAAGCCTATAATCTAAGCACAGAACATTGATCCAATACAAGAATATTTTTAAAAATCTTGAATACAACATAAAAATGAATAACCTGTGTAACAAAATGAGTAACAAGATAACCTTGCACGGTTCATATATCAGTACAGAACTGAACACATTCATGTTGTGTATATAGTAACACACTGTATACAAGGATTAAAAAAACCGTATTTTTATTTCAAGGTTACATTAGAGAATAAACATCAGTTTTAAGTACTGTAACTTTCTCAACACCCTTGGTCAATTTTATGGCTTACAGCAATATGTCTACTTTTAAGAAGTCTTCTCTTTTTTTTTTTTTTTTGTAATAGAGTTTATTTACCCATATTGTTTTTTCTAACCGATTTCCCTAGTTGTTTGTTGAAAGACTCACATAAGAAACAGAATAGCAAGAAACTCTTTCATGTTTCACACAGTTAACAGTTTTTGAATACTATTACTGCAATATACAAAAACCACAAACAAAACGTAAGGCAATGTCACTGCATTAAACAGCATTTCCAGTAAGAAACTGAAATTACTGGAAATTCTAAAACAAGTTTGTAGCATAGTATATGGCTTTATATGTAAAAGTAACACCAAAAATATTTAAGCTTTTAAGTAAGTTACTTACCTTATTTTAAATGTATTTATCCAAGCATATAAAGGTAAAGCAGAAGCCCTTCGTTCCTGCTTCCGTACGGTTTCTGGTAGAATGTATTCAATTGAAAGAGCATCATGTTTGATTCGACATCTTGCTAGTGCAGCTGCCAATTTGGTCTTAAAACTACAATATACAGTCATAACTTTACTCAGTTTTGTAGCTTTTTAAACAAGCTATTATCATGCAATATTTATTTTACGAGATTATCACCAAAAGCAAGGCCTCACTTTTGCAAGCTCTTACAGAAAGTGAATAGTTACAAGATGCTTTCTGCCCCACCCAACCCATAGTTGCAAGGTAGTAGTACATAGCTTAGACTATAGTAAAGACACACATGAAAGGAATTATGACAGGTCACTCCTGCTCTGACTTGGGACTAGCTTCTGAATGTGTCTGTTTTCTCAGAAAGCTCAAAAAGAACCCAAAACACGATTACATTTCTGAATATATATATATATGTGGGTGTGTGCGGGTGTGTGTGGGTGTGTATGTAAAATGAGCATTGAAGAAAGTTGACCTCTAAATACGTACAGAAACAACAGGAGCATTATGGCAACTAGGAATCAGGGTTTTTTATTATTCTGTGAAAATGTCAGAGAAAATATCTCTAGTCTGTTCTTCCCACAAGATTTATGCATAATTTTGATAAATGAGACTTCAAAGCAAATAAAAATTGCTCATGAGCTACTTCAGTTGTCAAGGTGTATTACTTACTGCCCTTCAGAAGTGCATAGCACTGATGTTATCCATGAACTTTCTGGGCTATTCTAAATCCAGCAGCAATAGTTCTATTACGCTCCTATTTATACGTAGTGAATATTTTATTTTTTCTTTTCTAAAATTGTATGAAAAAAGTTTCAAAAAAGCAAAATATGACACTCTTTTCCAGTAAAACAATCCACAATATAAAGATGGTTTCTTAACCATCTTAGCTATACTTTTCTTAACTATAGGAATATGACACTTTCCCTTCCAACTAGGTTCTCATTAAAAATAAAACAAAAAAAACACAAACAAAGAAAATTTCAGGATGAAAAATACCTCTAATATTCACAATTTTAAAAAAGGCATTCGTTATAAAAATCCATATTCGACTAATATATATGAACAAATAAACTGTGAGCATGTATACCTGTATAGATAATGCTCTATTTTCCGAACTTCTGCTACAGGTTCTTCTTCATCAACAATCTCTCGGGCTTGAAACTTTCGGTCTTGTAGGTCATAAAGCATCACAACAAGCAAGCTGGTTAATTCATCTGGCTGCAATAGGAAAACAACCGGATATAGAAAGTGACACAAAGCATGCCTTGCTCCTGCAAAAAGATCTGTACCAAGAGCAGTCTCCCATGTGAAAGGCATGGGAATCCCAATGAGACTGAATTTGTAATAATAGGAAAGCAGTTCATCATGAGCGCATTAGTGAATATTTTAAAAACTAATATACATTTTTAGAGTTATTTAGCTTATCAATATTACAAATATCTTACTCCTACAGATAATACAGTGTATCTTAATTTTTAACACTATCAAAATTTAAATTTAAATTTAGTTATTTTGTCTACATAAGTTAGTTCCATGAACAGCTAAAGCTAAAGTAACAAAAACTTATTGTCTACCAATTTGTCTCTTGTGGGATTCTTGTGTACCTAGTAACAGACAAGCTCAAACAGTTCCATGGTTGGGACAGTCATAAAATCTGTTTACCACGTCTAAGGGTTGAAAATACACAGCATCTCCTTCTTAATGGGGCAAGATGTTAAATGCTGCCTCGTGAGGCAGCATCTCCTTAGCATTGCAGTTACTCTCCTCTACCTCTTTTCATGACATTCCAACTGCTCTTATACCCTTGAAAACTCTTATCTTCTGGTAAATTTAACTGAAATTAGCTATAAAATTCAAACTATTAGGGATGTACAACCAAACACAAAATGTGACCATGAAAGTATCACTTCCTTACAAAAACCAGCTGAAAATCTTCAGTTAGTGTTAGATCATTTGCATACACACAATCTCCACAAATAACATCCGTTCAAATTCATCTTGTCATTTTCAGAGTCACTGATGACTAAACTGCACTCAACAGTGGACTACACTACCAGCTCTAGATTTTCTTTTCATGTCAAAACAGGGAACTATGTTGAGTATGTTGGACTTTTTGTTGTTAGAGTAAGTACAATATTCATATACAATAGAGTTTGCCCAGGAAATGAAACATGGGTTCAATGCTCTCTTTTGCCTGATGGGGTTCACTCCATGTTTTCCAGGTCCTAGGGACAGAAAGGGAGCATGAATCTTCTTGCCCAATGACATGGGCACATAGCTGGAAAGAAAAGCACAGAGTACCATTCTTTATTTTATTCAAAGCATCATTTAATGTAAAGCCAAGAGGAACCAAGCCAGAACCCAAAAACCTCCCCCTTGTCTCTTCAGAAGCCCTGATCTCTAAAGTAGGAGCACACTTGCTCTTGTATTCACTAAAACTGGGGCAAGACTCACACATTCCATTCAACAGGGAGTACCAAACCGAGAGGAAAAGCAGAAAAGGACTCTTGGCTGCAGGACTGTTTAGGATACTCTCCTGGGAAGCGGAAAAACATGAGTTCAAACCACCTTGTAAGAACAAGTGTGCAGAAGTCAGGTGTCAAAACTTGCTGGAGAAGGACCATAATCTCTAATATTCTGCTCCTCGACTTTTCCTGGCTCATGGGCAACATCACTGAGCAGGTAAGAATCTGGAGAGATCTGGAGAGAAAATGGAGTCTCCTTCCCTGGAGATATTCAAAACCCGTCTGGATGTGATCCTGGGAAATATGCTCTAGGTGACCCTGCTTGAGCAGGGAGGTTGGACTAGATGATCTCCAGAGGTTCCTTCCGACCTAAACGATTCTGTGATTCTGTAATACACTGCAGGCAGCTTACTATGGGTTCTCCTAGTTTCTTTGAACCTTTTAATTCCCAGCAGCAGAGAATCAAAGAACACCAAAGAACCTCACAAACAACCTATCTAGTACCTTGGAAACTAATGCTTTAGACAACTAACTTTAAAGGTCGGCAGTATTTCAGTCTCCTCCAACTACTTCTTAAGGGACAGAGTAAATCAGCTGCCTGCACACGGACTGACAACTATGGGGAACCCCCAGGCTGTGAACCTCAAGCTCATCTAGGCTTCTCTTCTGAGGTAGCAAAGAGCAAGAAAGTCTACCAAACACAATGATACTTGCTTGGATTTTTACTGGCTACCTTAGGCAGCTCCACATTCAGTATGCTACTTGTTGCAAGTCCTCTCTCAGACTTCTAGCTCAGTTTTGGCTACCAGCATGAAGTCAAGTGACTGACTAAAAATCCATGTCTGGTAAGGCTGAATGCTATTACAGAAGTTCCTACGTGGATCCTGATGCAACTCAATATGCTGTGACAGTGCTCATTTCATGTAGATGCTGAAGCTTAGATGCTAGTCTTCAGACAACTTAATATGAAATTAACAGTTTGCAGTTTCAGTCTGGCGTAATTATCAGACTTAACCTTAATTATGTAACACCAAGCATTGAATATGCAAAAGTTTACATTTTCTGAAGTAAATCTCCACTTTTTACATGAAATTACAGACAATATAGCTGATGATAACTTTACATTAAAACATTATAAACACAGTCTACATACCAGAAACCTATCTTGTCAAATTTTTTTCATGCGCATTCAGGACATAAGCAATTAGGTGCTGTATTCTTCCCAAAAGCATGGAGGCATAAATCCAAACAAAAATAAGACCAAGTATATTGCTCTGTTCTTTTGGTGAATCCAGTTAACTCTAACATTCTGCATCATATCTAGATTTAACTTGACATTTTAACACCTCCTACCTGCGGTAAAATACTGAAATAGGAAGCTTGTTTTCTCTTGTGTTCAGTGATACTAACACAGAAAGCAAGGTAGAATTATTAGGTTTAAATTTTCAGCCTCAGGTCAGAAGCTTGACTCTTAATTCTAATCAAAATCAGACAACTCCAGCGCTTCTAAGTTGTAACAGCCTTCCTGGCCACTTCAGGGTAGGGCTATCTGTTCAAAAACTCACATGCTAGGACTAGAATAGGTGCTTACCAGGACAGCCTGTACCAGGGAAGCCCTCCATGAATAAAGTCCAGCCAGGTTTTTAACCCTTTTAACTGCCCAGTCCTTTTAATTGACATAAGGTAAAGGATGAGGATGAGAATGTCAACTGGCATTGATGACCTCTCCAGAGCCTTCCAGACACTGACTGGAAAAGTCTTTGGTTCAAAGTGAGGAATGCTTATAAACAGCCTCCCATTCCTTGATGGGGAAGCTATCAATACGCTACATTCAACGAGCTTGCTAACTTTTCTTCAAAAATAAGAGCATGTGATAAAAATCAAGATGTTTTTGGAATTCTTAATTAAAACTGTTTTCTTTCACCATTATGCTGGCTTTTCGACGTAGTCAATCTTTAAAAAAAATCAAAGGTAGTATATATGGCTATTTTCATATGTAGCTACTTCATAAGACCATTTGGTTGTATGAACTTGGAATTCAATGCTTATGTTTTGGAATTTTAAATCTAGTATTTCAAGGAAAGACAAGTTGAACAAAGGCTTCCATATAGTTTAAAATAACAAATGGAGAATGTCTCAGAATCCTCAGAAAAGATTCTAAATATATCAATTCAGAAAATACAACATTTACTTCCTCATCAAAATATTTACTTACTATTGACTGACATGGGTAAGCGCAGCTATCTAACAGTATTTTTTCAAGAAGATCTTGATCTGCAAAAGAACAAGTACAAGTTATGCTACAAAATCTACAAGAGTCTAAGTAAGAAAGAAATAGAAACTTATAAATCAGCAAAGCTGAAAGTTTAAGTAACACAAAAAGTGCAAATTCAATCACAAGCAGTAACAGTTCTAAATGAGTATAATTCCTTCACTGGAAAAAGTGTTGATTTCAAATGTTTGACTTCATAAAATACTGACAACTCTTAGAAATATTTAAATATTTAAGGGCTACTAATAGTCTAACAGTAACTAGTAGTCTAACAAAAACTTCTCCAAATGTCTGCTGTCAAGGAGAAACAAACGCTTTGTTTTTACATATTGTCTCTGCTACATCATTTCTGTCGACAATTCTTGGAAAAGTTTTCTACTTACATTTTAGAGCACTGAAAGCCAGTTCATAAGATACACGCTGGGAATATTCATCTTTAAAAGTCAGCATAGGAGATGCTGTGTCATCACCATACCGCACCAAAATTCTATCCTGAGGCTTTTCGTTATGAATGCCTTGAAAAATCTTAGCTGCGTTTATGTATATCGAGTCATGATAGCCATTCTTCTCAATCAAAGTCATTGTGCTCTTTTCAATAGATCCTTTTTCATCTGAAATTTTCATTTCACTCAAGTCTGAAATGTCATTTATAACATCCTCATCTAATGACACCAAGTTACTTTTAGAACTTGGCATTCTTCCAGTTGTTGATCATGTAAGTGCAAGTCACAATCCTGCTGCCTCTGCAAAAACAAAGTTGGTATTGAATTATAAAATAGTCTTTCTCTAAATACACTTTTCCCTTCATTTTCAGATTTGTCAATAGAATTGATTTTCTTTTTTAGGTTCTAATGCTGCAGATATGCATATATTTGCTTAACTCAATCATCTTACCTAGAGATGTATTTATGATAGTTTTGTTACATTATTTTCATTAATGCAGATATAAAAAAAAAGACTGCTTTCTTGTTTCAGAATCCAGTGTTTTACAATAAGTGATCCTGTTGAGATTCTATACAGAGATTCGATTCTTTGTGTCTAATAAGAAACACTATTATTTCAGATAGACTAATATTTCTTACTAGGAAGTCTCCTTTAAAAAGATACTACACAAATTTCAAAGCAGACATTGTTTCTCCCAAACAAGAACCGTCTTGAAAAGAGCTGCAATGAATTCCACCTGCTTGTCCACTGAACTGCACATCTGCTCCTAAAGACAGATCGTATAGGTCACATTACCTAACCACCAGGATTTTCAATACTACAAACCCATTCTGATCGTCTCGGAACATACTACCCAACTCTACATGAGGCCAGGTGTGTTACTTCAGTTTTCTATACTTCTTACATAAAAAATAAAGGAAAAATTAATCTTCCCCAGAGGTTGAACAGGGCTTCAAGGAAAAAAAAAAAGTCTTTAAAGAAAGGAGCACGTGTAAATCTATCAGTGTTAGCTGAATCCAAAATAGTCACTTAAGTTCCACCTAAAACCTATTTAAAGTATCCCATTCTCAGTGCTTGGATCTACCGTTTCCTTTGGTTACTATAAGATCCATTAATGACAATGATCATAGGCTTAGAAGTCAGGTTAGATGTTCAGAACAGGGCTAACTAAGCCAACACAAATTTAGTCACTGAGGAGAGACTATAACCCTCCCCCCCACCCCACACACACACACGTACAGAGGCGTTTTCCTATCTGGAGAAGAGAAATAGGGGAGTAGTTCAGCAACTGTAATACAGAAAAATAGGCATAAATCCACTCATAACAAATAGTTCTGGATATTTTAGAATTAACAGCACAGGAGAGCAGAATTTGCTCTTTCTGTCACTCTAAAAATCCAAGAGAGAAAGTGATATTCTGACCAAACAGAAAGTATTTTCTCTTTGCCTACGAAAGTCAGTTTAGTGCAACAGTTCTCAAGCTTTTTCCCTGCACTCCCCGACATTCCTCAGGATAAATTATGTGCTTCTTCTCTCAGGGTAAGAAATACTTGTTAACCCTCCCCTTTGCTCCCCTTGTTCACACAAACTGTACTGGAAAGTGAAGATGGCAGCACAGCTGGGAGGGGAAAGGAGGAAAGAATTTGGTACTTCTCCCAACAGGCAGCCACGAAATGCCCCACACTGAGCCAACATTCTCCAGTTCAAACTCTCTTTCCTCAACAGCAGTGAGACTCAGCCCATCCCTCCCCTCCTCAAGACCAGCACAAACTACTCATCTGAGTTTGTGCTAAAATTTGTTTCGGCCAGCCCGTAAGGCTTCAGACAACCAACCAATATTACTTCTTGAATGCTGGTGGCTCATCTGAAGGAGGCCACATCTCATTCTCCTTTCCCAGACTACAATATTTACTCACAAAAACTGCTAGTCCCGTAGAAGCAACTTTTATCTTCTCTTCACAGAGGTTTTGGGCCTCCGATAAATAGTTTTACCTGGGAGGAGCTAAGCACCAACATCTCTAGTATCAGGTGCAGTACTGATGGATCCATGAATCAAATGTAAATTTAATTTTATGAAGTCATACTGAAACAGAACACGTAGCGCAAGCAGAGGAAAGCTGACTCTTTACTAGAATAAAGTACCAGTTTACCTAAACCAAACTGAAACTCTTGTGTTTAGTAAGGGGAACATCTTAAATGTTTTCAGGATACTTTTGTTTCAACTGGACCAAAAGACTAGTTCATGACTTCACAGAAAGAAGGACAGCAACTAGCAGGGACTTAGAGCTCAACTCTCTTCTCCAGCTAAACATAAAAACATTTATTTTTAGAACATGCAGGAAGTCAAGAAACGTTTGTGATATTAGCACTTTCAAGACTTTTAGCATTCCTGATAATTGTTTGTGAATTCTTTGCCAAGGCAGTCTACAGACCTGCCAGATACACTGCCATTAAGATGATGTGATGAACATACTTCCCCAAATACAAATGTCATCTTAATAGAGATGAGAAGTCAGTGCTTTGCCCTATACACTGACTCACATCTGCAACACCGCTAATCAGAGCTTAGATTACTGAACTCTGTGCCAAGTGGAGAACACCAAGCTTGATATATTAATGAGTCCAGGACTTTAATATGAAGATGAGCCGGAAAGAGCTAGAGGAGACACAAAAGACCCTACATTTGCCTGTGAAAGAAATAAACTGAGCCTCAAGCGGGTTACTCGGCTGAGGAAAAAAACAAACAAAAAGAAAATCTCAAGGTCCCAAGGGAGGCATCATTCTCCTAAAAGAGAGAATGTTTTCAAATTTCAGAAATATTTTTTCCCATCAGTTAAGAGAAGCTTCAAATGCAGAGATGCATTTGTTGTGTCCCTATCACAACAAATCTCTGAACATATCCCTGAACAAAGAAGAAGGAATGTGAGGACAGAAAAAGAAAAAAATAAAATCAAATTTTATAATATTTTTGAATCCCACAAATGCTAAACCAAACTGAACAGGAAATGAATCCAGCATCTCTCCAAACAGTCTTAACACACTGATTCAGTGTTAAGTACACACAGAACTAATCTGGCCGACCGCACAACTGTCTCATCTATGACATAAGAACATGCAGTTACAATTAAGCTTCCAAAGTTCTTGCCGACATACTTCCACGCTATCTTGCTTAAGCTGGTTCTCTTGACCGGATTCGCAAGTCAGAGTAGTAATGGGGCATGCAGAAAAAGGGAACTAAAGACACTCATAACTAAAATTTAACAAACAGTTACCAATGTCCAGCTGTTCCAGCTGGAGTGTCTGCTGCGGATAATGAGCACCTATGCCAGGACAATACCGTTTGTGAAAGCACAAAAAACAGACAGGGAAGTATTCCCCCGCTTTTGCTTCCAAGTCATAATCCGTTAAGCCAATATCAACGATCAGGACAGCTCATTGTTGGCACAACAGTTTTATGAGTAATATCAGTACAAGGGGATATTGGTTGCGTGTTTGCTATCTGTACAAAGTGGTCTAAAAATCTCTCTTCTGAAAACTTCTGTATGACAGGAGCAGATAGATTACCATAACACAAATTACTGTTATCCAAGTACGAACAATAGCAATAAAGATAAGCAGCTAGAGGCTTCCAGCAGAAGAGTGGGAACACAGCAACCACCAGGCAGTAAGGAATCTGAGGAACTACACTGAACTGCATTGCCTTCCATCAGGGCAGCGCAAGGCGAGCAGCTTGGAAAAGTTTACCAGCACAGGAACAATGTTTTTTCTTTTCTCCAATGACTGAATAGAGCTCTTGGCTGCCCTGGTGGGCTTAGTATTTCAAGGGTTCAACACCTCTCAGATCAAGCCCACAGAAAAGTAAATCACAGGAACAGCAGGTGAAGGGAGTGTGGGTGAGAGAGCGCAAAGTGCTTATGTTTGTGTTCTGAGGAAGCTCTTGAACAAGTTTGAGGTAAGAATAATGTAACAGACAACTGTCAGGTACCCTCAGAGGATGTTCACCAAATAAAATGACCTCAAGATCAGCAGGTTTAAATCCTTAAGAGACAGTTTTAATCGTTGCTTCCCAAAACAAGGGAAACCCTGCCCTTTTCACCTATATGCTTGTCAATGGAATGGAAGAAAAATTTAATTCATTTACCCGAACGTTCTCAATTTCAAGTGAAACAGACAATACACTCACTGCATGGTCTTGCAACCAGGAGCTGAATCAACAGCACTAGATAAATCCATTATTTGTGGCGCATAATATGTACCCATATTAACAGCAAATCGGAAAAAAAAAGTTACATTTTCAATTTATATGTGACCTCAATTAGACTTAAGTCAACTAATACATTACGTTCAGCTGGAACGATGGCTCCAGTTTTGACCTAATGAACTCGCACAGAATTATGACATTTATTCATTACATAGCATAGCAAAGGATTTCCACTCCCCCCATTAAAGTCACCAGTTCCTCTATTCAGATACCAGTGTATTTGTTTTTTCCACTTCTTCAGTTATTACCTTTTTCAGTAGCACCTATCATTATACAATTCACAAAAAAAAGACAAACAAAAAGCCCACTGCATTTGTGTTGTATCACGTATTCCTGACTTTAGGCAGGCAGTCTGGCTGCCTCACACAAATTCACATTAACAGGAATTCATGAACAGTGGCTACGTAAGCATAGACATGGTTTCATGCACAGCAAAAGAAAATCTTTGACAGCCACATAGTGTAGTTTTTTCTCATCAGTCTTACAGGTATGCATGACCATATCCGCTTTTCAATGCCTGCTGCAGTTCTCCAATACGGAGCTTCCATAGACAGCACAGACTCTACTTTTCCCAGCGTGTGTTATCTAACCTGTAGGGAAGGGAAGATTGGTGCAAGTCACAAAAAGTCAGTGACAAGAACATTTCCCAGCTCCACCTGATTTATAAGCAGCAGTTCAACTCAAGTCACAGTAGTCACCCAGAAAGAGAGATACTTATTTGTGTAAACAGAAGGATTCTTGAAACACTGGGCAACTTGGGACTGCAAACAGCCCCCAAGGAGCCTGCTGCAACGACTCTACAGCGGCCACCAAGTCTGGCAGCGGGCCACTTTCAGCAGCGACAGGAGCAACAGGAGGAACTTGCTCTGCCAGGGACTCCCTACAGCAGCACCGGACCCCGCTGCGCACAGGCCAGCTCAGCGCCGCTGTGAACATGTCAGCAGTGGGCAGTGAGGCACCCGCACTTCAGCTGTTACTACAGCAGCTGGAAAAGGTCACCCTGCAATGGCCGGTGCAGACGAGACCAACAGGAGGGTCCATCTCCATCAAAGCAAGCAAAACAATAAATAAATTAAAAAAAAAAACACACAGAGAAGCGAGAGGGGTGATTTCTAAACCTTTTCTATTCTCTAATAACCCCAAAGGTCTTTTTTTTGTTTTCTTAATTTTTTCCCCCTCCAGACACGGTTTCTCCCACTCGCTTCTCCCCGCGGCATCACCGCGCCC